TCATGATATTACAAAATCTTGCTTGAACATATCAAGCTTTTCCTTTTTTTCTTTTTTAGTATTACCGGGCTATATCGCATGCCTTTATTTATTCGCATAAAAGTGCTATAATGAGGCTGCGATGCGGACGCAGCGCGAAAATTACAAACGTAGTTATAGACACTATATCGAATAATGTCCGCGTCCGCCAGAGGAAATCACGGCGGAATCATCCAATTAACGAAATACCTAATTTTCAATGAAATTCCCATTATGCTGCATACAGGGATAAGCTTTAATATTAAAGCATTTTATTAAAACGTAAAATATTAAAATACTGTAATGCATCCAGTCCGGCTCGTCAAATAACGTCCGTGTTTGTACTGCAAACGTTTCGTGCGCATTTGCAGCCCGGAAACAAATTATATCATTTCCGACCCTGCTTACCGCCCTCGCAATCAGTAAATATTCCGCCGTGCGAGCAGGAATTTAAAAGTCATCATCAGCTAGTCGATGACATTTATCGATATTTCAATTTTGATAACAAGAATTAGATTGTTTACTTAAATAGTCGGACGAATTTTATTATAAAATAAAAATTCTGTTATTTTTGAACATCATATATTAATATGAGTCATTAAATTCTGGTCGAAATTGTATATATTTGTACAGATATTGAGGTGTTATACTAAAAAAATATTACAATATATATATTTTATAATAATGATTGATACTGCAAAGTGATTAATTTTTTTTGGTAGTAATATTTTTGAATTTATAACTTTATAAATAAAATATTATATAAATGGTTTTGTCTGTGTATGTGTGTATGTGTGTGCGTGTGTGTGTGTGCGTGTGTGCGTGTGTGCGTGTGTGTGCGTGTGCGTGTGTGTGTGTGTGTGTGTGTGTGTGTGTGTGTGTGTGTGTGTGTGTGTGTGTGTGTGTGTGTGTGTGTGTGTGTGTGTGTGTGTGTGTGTGTGTGTGTGTGTGTGTGTGTGTGTGTGTGTGTGTGTTAAAACGTCAATATATTACATTGTGTGTTTTTTTTTTTTTAATAAAATGTAAGTTATAAATTATCTATACGCATTTACTTGAATTGCAGAAAATTTATCAAGAAATTTACTAGCAAATCATTTTTTGATGAAGGAACCTGTATATACATATACATCAAGTTTTAATTTTTAAATACAAATAATCATTATCACGAAATAAAGAATAATAAAAAAGTATGATAAAAGCTAAAAATAAAATATATAATGAACCTTAGATTCTTTTTACGTTAAGGATGCTGCTCGACATGCAAACAAGCCGCCTGTTCTCTATCCGGAAACCGCGAGAATATCGCGAGTTCCCTCGTCTATTTTTACAAGTCCATCCTTAGGGGTCAAGATTTGTGAGGGCGAGGGAGGGAGACCCCCTTCTTTGCGCTGTCGACGTGAAACATTTGTCGCGATCAAATCCTCGTGGCTTCGAGCACCGGATCGTCGTCTTTTGTCAAAATAAACGAGCCAATCGTTCAAATTGTGTGTTTAAAAGAAAAAGTTGAAAAATTAGAAATTTATTTGTTTTATTTCGCGCGGAAGTATGTTGTCATTCTTCTATGTTTTTTCTCGTTCAACATGATGCTGGTTTCTTTTCTTCTCTTTTTTTTTCTTTCTTTTTTTAATAGCGTTTTTGCACTTTATTTTTTAAAGTTATAAATTTGTTGAATTTAAAATTATAAAAATACAAAAAAAAATTAATAACGCGAGATTCAAACAAATTCTTGAGATTGACAATCCAAAGTTTTGAATTGTACACATGGAAATTGTTTCATTCTATTTTTTGACGTCACTCTGCACGTTATTGTCAGAAAATAGCAAGCAGGTGCGAACGTTCAGCAAAGAACGTTTATTTTCATACGCTCTATGGAATTCGCGTCGGGAAGTAATATTTTTTCCTGATTCACAAATTTCTATTCACGTATTATGCCGTATATTTTTTATACGATATTGCAATACGGTATTGGCTAATAGGATTAAGCAAGATGCAATCATAAAAAATTAAAGTTACAGTTACATTATTTTATAAGATTGATATATAGATATATATTATGATTGATAAACGGATAAAAAATAACATTTTCGATCATATATATAATTTTGCGCAATAGCGATTATATTTTTCATGTTTTAAAATAAGAGGATTTCTGTTAGAACGCGGAATTACGATTAAAATTTAATGCGAAAATAATTTAATTTACTTTTTCGAATAATTTGTCGGTTAGCAATAAATATAAACGATAATTTTCAGTGGACAAATTATCGCTAAAGCAGTGTCTACTCAAGTAATCGATAGATAGCGATTGAGAGTAAAAGACAAAAACGTATTGACAGTTACAGTGATACACTGATTAAAATATTCAAAAGTTTGCGATTGGCGCGTTTATCACCGGAAGGAAAACGTATTTTAAATGTGAGAATTCAATTTGTCGCTCATCCTGACACCGATACCGTCATTTAAGTAGACATGCCTGCCTAATTAGATTTCCATGATATCGTTTGTCGATCTATCGAATCTATTTATGACCGCTGTCGACAGACGAAAAACGATTTATTATTACAGGATAGTGAGATCGAGAGATTTCGTTGTGGAAATTTAAGGAGGCTAATTCTGAAATGGCGATAATTTGAAAGCTATTCAAACTGGGGTGAACGCGATGCAGTTTGAATCAATATAAATGAATAATAATGTGCTGCAATTCCTCTTTAAAAAAAAAACTTCTTTCCTCTAAAAATATTTTAATGTGTCAAATATTATCGCGATATATAAAGTCTGATACTATCTAATTTTTTATTACATTGGAAAATAAAGTTTAGTTACCTACGTTTGAAGATTTTGTGACAGTATATTTAATTTCCAATATAATTATTTTATCATAAATATTTTTTTCAAGATTAATTACATAAATTATTGCAACTTATGTCAATAATTTTTATATTGAAAATTTAGTTTTTTAAAAAATCTTTTAAAACAGTTTATTTGAAAAATGTATAAATATATATTTCTATACGTCTAAAATATTGAAATTATTAATTTACGTAAATACTTTGGTAAAATGAGCTCTTTTGCAAATATGAGATATATTCTTAGCGATAATTTGAAACTGTCTGGAACCCATGCACAACATTTACGATGATTTAACAAATAAGCAAAGAAATTTCAATCGCAAAAAGATAATCCCCCTCCCGAAATTATCCGTAATGGAAATGCAATGTAACTGATAAATCTCGTGTCATTCCTTCGTTTTTCGAGTCGATTTTCTTCATTGCATCGTCGCGACGTTAATTCCGCCGACTTCCGTTATCCGATGATACCATGCTCGCAAGGCAGACTACGATTATCATTCAGGAATTTTAAAGTGCATGTACGCATTCACGCGTCATCGGTTCTGTGTTATTTTATTTCAAAATCGCGGTAGATTACGACCGATTAAGACCGACGAAGGAAACTCGAGGCACCTAATTATGCAAAGTGCATCTAAGTATACCTTGCAATCGACTAGAAGATAAAGATTTATCTTTAAACTTCACATTTTAGATGTATAGCGAATGTTTCTAATCTATAAATTTCTTCTAAATAATTCCGGGCACTATTAATCTTATAAATTAGAATTGCAATAATAATATTATTTCTAGAAGAGAACGAACATTTAGATTTCAATTCGATAATTAAAGTGCATAATGCGCTCCACACAAGACTGAGAAAGATGCCGAGAAGCATCGCTCGCTGATAGACGCAACTGAATAAAACGCAGCTTGGTGTATAGTATCCGGTCAAGGATGGACGATCGCGCGACTCCTTTCGTCTGTCTCCCCTATACGACTGTACGGCGACTCGCAATAAATATTTACCACCGTATAAAGGCTTTCAGCATATCCTTCCAGCACGGCGACGTTGCGAAGCCGCTTTGAGATACGGTCGATTAATGCGTAATTAAAATCAACTGTAAAAATCCGACACGTCGCTATTGCAAACTTTTTCTATAAGTTTATGCATACATAGTTTACGTCCTCGGGCCGAATCTTGACACTACGAGGTGTGCAGGATGCAGACGGTGACAAGTTTTCGCGATTAATTATGCATTCCCGTCAGAGTGCAAGACATGAGATAGAAGTATCCCGCTGGAGTATCACGGGCTGTTTGCGCTGCTCTTTTTCCCTCGTCCTATTCTCCTCTCGCTCGGATATCTTTCCTCTTTTTTTTTCTTTTTCTTTTACTCACCGTTTTACGGAGCGATAAATTGCGAGTAAACGAGCCGGGCCCGCGTTGACCTACGGCGGCGGTTTTCGTTTCGCGACTCGTTTCTGGGCTTAATGCGATGCGCGCGTCTCGACGGCGATTCGTTGCGGAAAGTAATTACGAGGCGAGTTGAATACTTTTTAAATCGTGTTAGCCGATCTTTCAAGAAGTGAAACGTCCCCCCCCCCCCTCTCTCTTCGGATGATTCCATTCTTTGACCGCGCTCGAGACGCTAAACCCTCATTTTCGAGGACATCAAAGACAACCTTCAAAATGCATTTAATTGTCAAATAAAAAAGGATTTCTCTCTGTTTTACTTCCTTTTTGCTAAAACGCATTTTATACTTTATATTGCAGTATTAAATTTATTTTTATTTTAAAAGTTTTAAAGAAGTTTGAGAGAATCTTGATTGTCAATGAATTTGATGCAATTGTAGTTTGAAAATGTTTTGCTATTTGCTATTATAATGAAAAGGAAGAAGCAACTATATATATATATATATATATATAACTATATTGAGATGATCTTGTGTAGCACGTCGGCGAAATAAATTAAGAAATATTAAAAAATTTTTTACACGTTTTTCTGTTCTATTTTACGAGGTATTATAACTCTATGATCAATAATTTTTTAACAATTTAAGCTTGAGAGAGATAGACACGATAACCAAATATTTACACGCTAAAAATAATTTCGTTATGCAATTGTTAATTATACTTTGAATATCTTTCTGTTTTAGGCAAGAAGAAATTTCCCTCAGATCCATCTTGCTGCCCGGTATGCGGAGTGACAGTGAGGCCTCAAGAATTAGAACAGCACTTTGCTCAAGAACTTGATCGACTGTATAAGGTTTCTACAACGCCTTCAAGACCTCGATCTGCGAGATCAACCTTGCCGCCGACGCATGCCCAAGATCATCCTCATGGCCCGATGCTGCACGCCCCATCGGCGGCAGACGGTACCCCTCAGGGTAGATGGGAGACGTACAAGAGAATTAAGGCCAATAGACAGGTAATTCATTGATTGTGTGTATATTGTTTTAATCTCTCATTGATTACTATTTAATGATATGTTTCTAATTTCTTTCTGGAAAAATTATTATTATATACGTATATAGGATTATACGATTTTCGCGTTTTCGATTAATTATTAATAAACGAATCGATACATAATTTCTTTTTATATATATTAAAGATTAACATATCTTCCTTCAAATCAAATTTTTTTTAAATCGTTCTAGAGATTCAAACCGATTAATCGAGAATAAGAAAAATTTATCATTTTTCATAGATTAAATCTCGAGATCTCAGAAATGACTACACCAATTGTATTCGAACTGATCGCAATCGAAACCGTACATCAAGATTATGTGAAAAAATATTATTAGATTTTTTTTTATTATGGTTCCAATTCTAGAGATATTTTAATTGAAATACATTTGATATAAGAAATCCGAATAAATTAAGATGCTTAATAGCATCTCTCGATGATATCCTGTCAATATAATCGCATAATCAGTTGCTTTTTATGTATTTGACGTCGCATTGATGCTACTGCATCGCTTGATATAATATATGTATGTTGCTATACTTTCTTTGCAGGCTAGAATACGCGTTAAGAATCGGA